CTGTCGTCACTTTTGGGCTCCTGGGGCGTGAATTTGGAGGAAGTATCAGGCGGGAGCCTCGTCTGTGAGTGAATTGCGAGGAAGTCTCAGGCGGGGGTCTCCTCCCTATGGGGCCCCCAGATCATGTTACTAATCCGAGGCGGGCCATCGGAATCTTGTAACTGTCGTCACTTTTGGGCTCTTGAGGCCTGAATATGGGAGAAGGATCAGGCGGGAGCCTCGTCTGTGAGTGACTTGCGAGGAAGTCTCAGGCGGAAGCCCCCTCCCTATGGGGCCCGCAGATCATCTTACTAATCCGAGCGGGTCATCGGAAACCTGTAACCGTCGTCGCTTTTGGGCTCCTGAGGCCTGAATATGGGAGAAGTATCAGGCGGGCGCTCCATCCCTGTGGGGCACGCACTTCATGTTCGAACCCGAGCGGGTCATCCGAGCGAGCTTTTTGGGCTCCTCAGTTCCTGCGGCCTGAACAAGGGGGAAGTATCAAGCGGGAACTTTGTCTGTGGGCGGTGCGGGTAGTCCCGTCTGAGGACCGTCTCTTGTCGTCACTTGGAGGATCGAAGGGGAACTCGCTCCTGCGGCCTGAATATTCTCTTTCGACTTGCCCACGTCCAATTGCTGGCCAACCTTGTCGTCGTCGGCGGGAGAGGGAACTTGAAAAGGTTCACTCTCCCGCGTTCGTTTGGGCTGGGGAGGGAACTTGAAAAGGTTCACTCTCTAGCTGCGGGAGAGGGAACTTGAAAAGGTTCACTCTCTAACTACGAGGCTCAGGCGGACGCGGAGGCCCGCGTCGCCGCGGCCCGCTTCCTCGCGCGGCACGAGTGGCCCTCGATCTGGGAGACACAGGAGGTGCAGGAGGAATTCTTCGCGCTGCACCAGGCGCGAGCGGAGGGTAAGGACGCGGAGGGCGACTCGCTGGACCCCACCCACTGCCCCGACAGAGAGAAACCCAGGGCGACGGTGCACCAGTACGTCTCCATGATAGCCATGCAGGTGGCGCCCAACCTCGAGGGAATCGCCCTGGCGCGCGAGGAGAAGAAACCCCGGCAGTACCAGAGCGACGCAGCAGTGCAGAGCGCGTACCTCAAGGCGACCACCGGTGGAGGTGCCGGTCAGGACGAGGGCGCCGAGGCGGGCGAGGGCGTGGAGCACCCGGGCGCGCCTCCCAAGCGTGTCGGAGCACACTTCCAGCCGGTCCCGACGTGGGGCATCGACGGGGAGCAGGACATGGCGGACGTGCTGAACTTCGCGCACCGTAAGCGCCTCGCGAGGTTGGCCAAGGAGCTCCTCGCGCTCCCGTGCATGTCCGAGGCGGCCCGCGAGGGCGCGGGTGCGCCCGAGCCGACGGAGGCCGCGACTGCCCCCGCGCCCGCGGCCGGGTACCGACCGCCGGTGACCGCGGCGCGCGAGGAGAGACACGCCTGGGGAAACCTGCACGACGAACGCCTCCAGGACAATCGCGACGAGGAAGATGCAGGCGCTCCGGACGGCGAGGACGCGGGCGCAGGCGGCCTGGGCGGCGACCCCGCTGCGGCCAGTTTTGCCAGCAGCGTGTACTCAACGCCCAGCGCGTACATCGCCGCCCTGGTCGCTGGGTTGCCGGAGAACGAGAGACTCACGCGGGACCAGACGCTCTTCGTCGCCAAGTTCGCCAAGGCCTGCGACGACGCCTGGGAGGACGACGTGCAGAAGAAGCCCTGGAGCGAGAGAAGTGACGCACTTGC